TCTTGGTTTTGGCTTTCTTTGCTTTCTCATTTCTAGCTCGCATTGGTTCATCACATGGCAAGTTACTTCCATCGTCGCTGCCTGCCAGAATGGGACAAGGACCAAAAATACAATAGAGCAAAAGGTACCATGTGCATAGCCTGCTTTCACTGGCCAGTCCAAGCCAGTGGTCCCAAAGCTCTTTCCTTAGCCTGTAAGCAGAGAGGGAGCCTGTTGCTTTCAGTGACTCTTGCCTAAGAAAGCCCTTTGAGACTTGTCCTGCAGCAAGATACTGAGTGATGCAGACTTGCCTCTCTACAGGCCATCCATCCAGCCTCTGGTGGAGAAGAGGAGCTGCTTGCTGTGTTGTCTAAGCTACATTTGGGCAGACCTGCTGCCCTTAACTGGCTTGCACATCCATGCCAAATGCCTCAGGCAACCACCCGGTGCCTCTGCCACAGTTCTGCAAAGCAGCCACAGCTTTCATTGGCATGGCCAGAGTCATCTGTTCTGCATGAATGGGCCTGACCAGCATCTGGCAAATCTCTGCACCACCGGGATCTCTTGTAAAGAGCAGGGGACCGAGTGCTCCAGTAACATGATTGTAGAACTGAACTGAGTCACTGTAAGCAATGGCTCTGCCCTGATATGGTTGCCTTTGAGCTAGAATGAGTCAGGCTTCTTTCCCATTTAAAACCACCTGAATCCACAGTGTCCAGCAGGCATTTCTGTCGCATAGATGTTTTTTGGGAGCACATGGTTTCAGATTCAGTGGCTTTGGCAAGCAGCACATAGCTGAGGTATCTGAGAGTCTGCCCCAGCAAGGGAGGGCTGGGTGGGGTGGAGAGGTAGGACAGATCTGGCCTATGCAAGTGACAAGTGGCCATGGTTTTCACTCTGCTCTTCCTTAAGAGCAACACCACCCAGAGGTTGTCCTTGGCTGACTGGTAGATGCACCATGTTCACTGAGCAGGCAGCCAAGGCAGTGCAAACCTGTATTGCCACTCACTGGCAGTAACTTGCCTCCCTGCATGTGCTTTGTCAGAGCCAGTGCACCATTAGCAAGGTGGAGAAGTAGAAGGAGAGTGTGCTGGCAATGCAGCTGGCTCTGTCTCTAAAAGATCTGGGAATGTGATGGTCTTAGTAACTCAGAGATGCACATTTTCCCCCTCACCATCATGTCTCGGACTTAGGAAATCTCCACAGAAAAAGCTGCCTGTATTTTAAAAAGAGTGAAAATGTGAAAAACATGGCTTGAGTCAGTCAAAATGTTTTTGATGTGTTTTATTTCAGTTGTAAGCTTTTATGACGTGTTTGCAGATCTTTTTTATCTTCAACAACTAAAATTCTTGAATAACATATCTCAATAATGGTGAAACTTTGTATAAGCAATCAGAGAGAAAACAATCTTCTCAATTCCTTTCTACTGCCAGCCCATGCTTTTCACTGGTTTAAGTGAATGCCTAATTTCTGCTTTAAAAAAATCAGCTGGAGTAATGTGAATTCGCTTGATTCAATTAGAAAGAGCTTTTGAGGAGCTGCAAAGTCAGGGAATTTATCTCTTGTGTGATAAATGATGGCAAAGAGGTCACCACTTGATATAAAATTAAGCCCAGCACTAGTTTTTCCTAGCTTCTAGCTCAGTTTTAAATGATGCTGGTAATTCTGTCTTTGGTTTGAGTCAGGAGATCACAGTAAGAGGCCTCACAAAGCACCTAGAAATGATTTGATGATGAGACAGCAGAGATACACATACCCATGTTTTACAGTCCTAACTGCAAGCAGAGACATTAACTTCTGATTCACCAGCAGCTGATTCCAAATTCCTCTAAATGGCTTTAAGAAAATATATATTTCTGAGCTTTGCCCCCAGCTAAGTCTTTCCTCATACTAGGTCTTCTACCTACTTGACTGATAACATGAGGCACAAGGTGGGAGCCACCTAACAGCTTAGCACCACAGTAAATCTCTCCACTCCTTGGAGCATGTGTAGTTTTTTAACTAGACTTTGCTCCAGCTCTGTGTCCTTACCACACAAAACTGTCTTGGCGGTGACAGCCCACTGAAATCAGTGGAGTTACGCTCTTACATCTGTGGATCTGGTCCTACAGGCTCCTCCTTATGTATGCTGTGCCACAATGTCATCCTGGTGTGTGACCTGCCTCCTCCTGTGCTGGCATATTGAACTGCCTGGATGTATACATATTCATATGTATTTTGATGATAAATGATGCCTGTAATTGTTCCAACAGTTCAGATTGAACTGAGGTGCAAGGAAGCAACCCTGCCTGACCAAGATACAGCAGAGGAAACCTCTGCCATAACCAATGACAACAAACCACAGCAATTACTCAGTTAAAGCTAAACCCATCTTTAATCAGGACAGCCAGTGTAAGAGCCCCTTGGGATTTTTGTGAGAAGGAGGAACTCCTAAGCAGTGCAAAGGGAATTGTTCCTTTTTATTCCAGGGTTGAAGTTGCCCCCAGATTTGCAGATACTAATTTTCAAAAAGAGAATCATTAGTTTTTAATAAAGAATTTGCAACTTGGGCAGTGGAGGGATGGACTGAAAGCATTTCTCCATACAGTTTGGAGTTCATTAGTGTACCCATCAGGGAAAATGTGTGACAAATGTGCAATTGGATAAATATTCCATATTTAACCTCCAAACCAGTAATTCAGGAAAAAAAAGGCAATTTCTTCTAAATCTCAGTTCCAGGTGACTGCCTTTTATCTGAGCTCCATTAAATTATTCCCCTGCTAAATTCTCATGAAATAGGCTTTTTGCTCCAGCAGGCGTTGACTCCCTGAGATCATTTTGAAAGCAAAACATTCTGTTTTTATTAGTAATGATCCATCTTCCACCCTGATGATGTGAGGGGCTTGAGGAGGGTGTTTGTGCCTAGATGTCAATCCCTGTTTCTTCGCTGGCATGGGGATAGTCTGGGTCACCTGGTTCTTGTTTGTCTCCCTGGCTGCGGGTAGCACTGGGGTACAACAGAAAGACATGAGAGCTGGTAGTGCTACCTCCAAACAAGTCAAGAGGCAGTGTCCTTGGCCTCACATTCACTACTCAAGCTTGTAGCTAGATCCCTCTCAGTCTCATTCCTACTGCAGTGTCTCAGCAAGGTCTCCTGTCTTCAGTCTCAGTTATGATAATTTCTTCCTTCGTTGGTTGCCCCATTTAATTCCCAGGGTTTATTTCAGTGTGGCAATCACCAGACACAATTTTCCTATGGTCTCCTGTTTATTGTGGAGTTACACACAGCAAGTTTCCTACACAGCTCTATTTCAAAACACAGATTTATTTGCTTTTACTGACTCTGGTCAGAGCAGCTATTCTGAAATCCCATAGGGATGGAGCAGTAGAGGCAGACAGATGTGATGAGCTGGAGTGGCTCCACATACTGAGTGCTGCTGGCTGAAAACAGCCTTGACCTCTTTAATATATCAGGTCAGTGAAAACAGGGCTGGACAATACTGTGGTATATAATGTTCTGAGGGGACTGGGCAGAACTACCTCAACATTTCCCAGGTGGTGTTTCCTTGGGGCCTGTTTGCCTTGACAGATTTCTTCCTGTGCATGAACTCTGAGGCAGAAGGAATACTTTACAAAGCTTTTTATATAACTGTCCATGTTTTTTATGGCAAATTGAGCTCCCTTCATCTTGTATCTCTTCTCTTCCTTCCTCTCCTTGATGACCTTGCAGCCATCAGTGCCTGAATTCCTGCCTTTACGTCCCTCATTTTTTTTCTCTGCCCTCTCTGAGGAGGATTCCATATCCATGACCCAGCATATGTGGCTTTACTGCAGTTTGAAGGGCAGGAGCAGACTTGTGCCTGTCCAAGTGAATAGAAGATTCCAGAATTCTGTGATTCCCTGCCAGGAGCAGCAATGCAACTGACAAGCTTGGTTTGGGACTTTCAGGCTCCTGCCTCTATGCCAGGGAGCCTGGAAGCTGCCAGACCCCAAGGGTTCACAGGGTGGGTACTCACTGTGGGTATGAGCTGGGTTCCCTGGGCAGCCAGGTGTCCTCACTCCAGTGCAGTCCTGCAAACACCCAAAGAGGAGATTCTTCCAGTCAAACCATTTTACTGCAGGTTTGGCTCCACAGGAAATGCAGAGCCCAGGTGACAGGAGCATCAGGTTTCTTTATCTCAAGGGATGCGATGGCATTTTATCATGTCCTCTGAATTACTCTGTCACAAGCATCTTGAAGGTCTGGTTTATCTTCTCTAAAATGATTAGTACGCTGCTCATCAATCATTCTTATTTCACAACTAATGTGCTGCAGGTGGTTTACCAACCTGAGCATTTGGACTGAAATAATTGCACTCTCTCGAGCCCTGTGCCTGAACTGGGGGGAAGCTGCTGGTGCCTTTGAGGTGTCTGGGTGCTGTGGGGATGGGGGCATGGAGTGCTTGGGTGGATGGCCAGCCAGCCACCTGTGCCAAGCTCTGTCCTTCTGCAGGATGCCAACTCTCAGGAGCTGCACATTTCAGTTTTACAGTAGATTATGAAGGCAAGGCTGAAGAAAGTGAAAACTTCTTTTATTTCTCAGACAGTTAAAGAGCTCAAGGTTATTTTGTCCTAGGAACACATGTCTGTGTGCCTGGCTTGCTCCTTACTTCACTGCAAGCTGCACTTGAATGGCAAAGTGATTCTTGTATGTGTAAAAAGTGGGGGTGCCTGGGAAGTGTTCAGCACTCACAGTCACAGTGGCTTATTGGAGAAGCTGAATAGTCGGCACAGTGAGTTTTCCCCACTGCTTGCCATTCACCAAAGCCTAAGTCTAATTTTAGGCATTAAGCTGAATATGGATTCTTGAAAACATACGGCATCAATTCTTAAAGCTGATTGCTTTTGGTAAGTTGGCTTGATATAGCCAAATCCTTTGAGTTGTTTTCCATTCCCCAATAGGGAATGTGAGAAGAGGAGGAAGATCTAGGTCTGAGAGAGCCCAGGTCTGGCCAAGCTAGCTCCAACAATGTACTTGTTTTAGCTATCTATCTTCCCTGTAGGACCAGCTGTTTCTTCAGGAGCCCTGCTCTGGAATGCCTGCAAGTTGGGAAAAGACCTCACCAGTAACTCTACACTTACAAAGCCACTAAGTGGTACAGAAAATACAGAAGACTACCCTGAAATACACAAAGTAAAGAGTTAATGAATCCTCAAGAAACTTTTAAGTTTGCACAGACAAATCAGAGGGGAGTTTCACCAGCACATTTCTCTGGCCAAACCTGCAGATAAAGATTAACTGAAAGTCTTCAGGGACAGCAAACAGAACAATGTTGCTGTGAGGCCAAGTGTTGTTTTACCGTTTGTTCTCTGTACGTTACCATGGAGTACAAGTGCTGCTTGTGGGTACAAGAAGAAATAACCTTATATTCCTACCCTACATTTATCTCGGACACATCCTGAAGTTTAAACAGTTCATAGTGCTCTTCTTTAGTACTGGACCGGTCCACTGCTTTCTTAATGGAAATCCCTCCATCTGGGGACACTCCACTGACACCTTTGTTTGAGACTCGCTGCAGAGATTTCCGTAAGTAATGTGCTTTGATTGTGTTCCTGTTCTTTCCGCGTTCCCTGGCTGGGAGTGCTTGAACAGACTGACATGGTGTGTGGAATGTTTGTGGGAGTGGGCTGTTTTGAGGCAAGTGTCCAAAATATCCATGAAAGAGCTTCAGAATGAGAGTTGTGCAAATCTGTACTGCAAACCCGTTTCTGATATGTATGCTCATCCAGGTGAAAAACTGGGAAGTGTATCATGTAACCCTATGTGTCCTGTTGTGCTTGCATATATTGCAGATCACTGGTGCTGTTAATTACCTGAAATTCTTTACAAAAACTTCTTGACAGATAGTTCTGAAAAACATATAAACCTAAGGAATAAGCACGGCTGTTTGTAGAAGGGGGAGGGGGGAAGCAAAAGGCAGAAAATGAGCAAGCTACTATTATTTATTTTTTTTTTTGTGAATAATCACCCATCTTTGGATATGACAGAATAACTCAGAGGAAGCTGATGTCTCTTTTTGCTCTATTTTCAGCTAGTGCAGGAAGCAAAAGTGTCAGAAATCTCTCTGCAAAGCCTGTTTTGATGAGATTTCCAGCCAGTTTCATGAATGAAGTTGGTTTGGATTAACTGTGAATAAGTCCTTGGGCAGAACTAGCAAATCATGGGTTCATTGATCACAGACACTTGTGTGCATGGCATCTGACCCAACACTCAATAAAGGCAATGAGAAACCTACTGGGGCAGCTTACCCAATAGCTGTGGAGCCACTTTGCAGTTCCAGAGCAGCTGGAGTCAGCTATTCCCAGACACTGGAAACTGGATGGGAGTAAAATTTGCTTATGTTCCTGATTTATGGAGGTTTGCATCAGGCCCAGGGACAAGTTCTCTACTGCTCATTTACAAAACTGATGTAACAGATGAGACCTAGTGAGAGTCAAGCTCATCCTTTCCTCCTGCTGCTCCGATGTTTTATTTCCCATCTGTAATTAACAAGGATGGATGCCTACTTCTGGGATTGTTTAACTGTGGGGGTTGTTTCAGGGCTTTCCCCCGAGGCTGTCTCCACAAGTAACATGTTTTTTAAGTTATGCCTCTCTATTGATCCATGTCTGAACAATTACCAGTGGTGCTTGCTCTGAGCCCAAAGGTGTCTGCAATCAACCCCACAATGATATTCAAGGAGAGCGCTATTTTGAAAGGCTGCCTCTCCCAAAGTGTGCTGTGTGTTTAAAATGTGACAGGCTATATGACAGGACCTGAAACAGAGACATTTGAGAAAGCTTGGGAACTTCTAATCCTTTAGCCTGAGCCCAGCCATACTTCCTGACTTTGGCTTGGGAGCCTCTGTTTCAGACACACCATTTTCACCTGGCATCTGTATCTTTAATGTTCCTGCAGAATAAGCAGTGTTTTAAAGATGCCTGACTTGATATTACAGTGTAATACTCTGCCTGACAAAGCCCTAAAATCTGGTGGCTGGTAAATAAAAATGATTGATAATGATTGTTTCATTAGAGGCATCAATAACTTCACCAGAGCTGTTAGGAAACTAACAGCTGCTCCAAAAATGGCAAAGGAAACTTTGTGTTAAGTAGCTCAGTTTGCCTACTCTGCAAACTCCAGCTAAGGCTCCTGGGGGTCAGGTTTTCTGGAGGTGGAAATCCAGTACTGAATGTCTTATGGGGCATCAGGGCTACCAGTTCTGCTTGTGAGGCTGTGTGAAAAGCTAAAATATGTGCATTGTGAAGTAAAATCACTGAGTGAATGATCCCTCAGGAGTAGTGGGGCCAGTTCTTGTTTCTGTGGCTGCTTTTTTTCATAACCTTGGAATGATTGCTCTTTCTCCATGTCCTCGCAGGGGCTCAATTGCTGGACCAGTCTTGTAGTAGATGGAAGAGAGTAGGAGAGGTCAGGCCTCCCATCTGCTTCTTTAAGCAGCCTGGACAGCCCCATGGCTGGCAGAGTTTCTGCCTGCAGAGACTGGAGTCAGCAAAGTGCCAAGGCAGCAGGACACTATGATCCCCATCTCCATATGGACTGTCATTGTGCTCCCACACAGCTGCAGCACCAAACTGTGCTTGTGGAGCCAGATGCGTACAGGAGACGGGACTTAAAGGGAGCTTCCTTCAGGAACAGGAAAGCTCCCACTTTCTACTAGAAAAGCTGCTTCTGAGCTTTTCTTTTAGAAGGCAGATAGTCATCTGTCACTCCTTCTTAGCCTGGTGGTAAAGTCGCTTGGGCTGACAGCCTTCAATTTGGGGTCTGGTGCAGCGAGACAAGTTGGAGTGAGCCTGTTTGAAAGGGTCTGTGCCGATTAGGGTCAGCTGCTATTATCATAGGGGCAGTTAATTGAGGGGTATCGATAGGCAGCAGGCCATCTCTCTCTAATTTGCCTTCCCTGCCAGTTATTTAACAAAACTACTGAGAGAAAGGCTGCATTAACTTTACTTTTATCTTTAATTCTGTGACTGCAGTAAAAGCCAGTATCTGAGAAGCCACTGAATATAGGGCAGAATTGGTTCTGTAATAATAACTTGTTTTCCCTCTTTGAAAATAAATATGGTCCTTAGTAGAGAGATTTACCCATTGCTGGCAGTCAATCAGCCAGGACAATTTGGGCTCTGAGTACTTGATTAGAATAACTTTAAGGAAAATTGCCTTCCTGAATCAAGTAAGGATCCATTAACCTGATGAAACAGGGTTTGCTTATCTGGGAGGTTAAGACTCAAAACACAGCCTCGGCTGTATTAGATGAGGCCTCTTTTAGAATGGGAAGTAATAAAAACACCATCTGTCATGTCTAGTCAATCAGACCTCATATAAGAGAGGAATTATTCCTCTGACTTTACCGTTATAAGATCATCTGTTTGTTAACAATGGGAAGTGTCAGGTATTCTGAAAACTGGTTTTATTCCATCAAATTATTTCTAGCTGCCTTTATCTTGGAGAAAATTAATATTAATCTAAGTTTATACAGGAAAGAAATATTTCTAGATTAATACTGTGCTAAGGCATTCCATGTTGACTCTAGTGATTTATTGTTAGAGGTAAAACTGAATGGGAGATGGAGAAAAAGTACCATGTACACTTTACTTCTGAAAATTGTTATTTCTGTAAACAAATGTCATGCAAGTTGCTGAGCACTCAAAGGTTCTTTGAAGTCAACTGAGTATATACCTCTCCTGTAGCCATAAAGGACTTTAAAGAACTGGCATGGCTAGATCTTCTCATGTTATGCACAGGTATGGCTGGAGGTCACGGAAAAAGCGATTGCACTTTTTTGGCATGGATTTATGAAAGCTAATGAACACTGGCACTAATGGATTTCTCTGATAGTGAGTACCAGCCTTCTCCTCTGTTCACTAAGGAGCACTTGGAGACATCTAAAGACTGAATGCCAGACAGCAAAGACAGGAGATAGAAGGAGTGGTGGAAAGCTTATACCAGCATATCACCACCACTGCTCATCAGCTGGGGTGGAAACATCGTCTTCCCTTGTCACACACCACAGATGAGAGTGCAGTGGATGCATTAACGTTGCGTACACCATTGCCTGCTGCTTGGGCACGTGCTGTGCTGCTGCCCCACACATTCAGCACAGCTTTATAGCTTCTGGGTGGCCACAAGCTGGAAACCACCAGAGGTCTTTTTTTTTTTTTGTGGCATTTCTGGCACAAAACCATTCTGTGTTCAGGGTTTCTGTTTGCACAAGAGAAGTAATGGAGTGATTGCAGGTGTGTGATGCAGGTCTCAGCTATTGTGTTATGGGCACAATCCTATGCATGATCCCAGGAGGAAGGAGACAGGCTGGGGATAGAAGAGGAGGGTGAAAGCAACTGCCTAATTCAGCATTCAGTCCTGGCCAAAAGATGTGCTCCAGTTAAGCTACTGAGCCTGGAATCCTGGGAGAAAGGCATGTTGAGCAGAAGGAAGACAGTATGTTCTCTGGGGTGGCATCGGGAGAAGGCTGAGCACTCTTGGTCCCACTGATGTCAGGTGGATCACATGCCATTCAGCTCCTAGGAAAACTGGATCTTTTTTGGGGAGTTAGCATAAAGATGAAGAGTCACAGATGAGTTCTTGTTTCTATGAGAGAATAACCCTTCTCCTTGCCAAACTCTGGAGGCTTTTGTCGTGAGTGCCAGTGGAGAACAGACTGCTGTGGGCACAGGATGGCCAGAAAAAAAAGAATTGTGCTACAAAGTGTTAGGGTCCCTGGAGACCCAAATGCTGTATGTTTAGATCAACATTAACAAAAGAGAGAAAAAATCTCTAATTTTGTGCCACTCCCTTGGGGACCTGATGCAGGAAAAACCCACATGACTGCACTTCCCCCTGGAGCTGGTGAGAGCTACTCCCACTCACTGTGTTAGCAAATCGATCCCCATGGTCACTGCGGGGGGAGGCTGAAAAGAATGGATGGCACTGCAAGCTCATTATGAAAATGCAGGGAACCAGAGTTAATGAATCTTGGATGAGCCCCTAATCTGCCTGTCCCTCGGTGGAGGAAGCTGGTTGGGGAGGATGTGATTAACGTCTCAGTGGAAATGACAGTCCCTAGAATGCAGAAGGTTGTGTCATATCTGTCAGTGCTTGCCTCTGGGAGGGGCCACTGTCAGCTGAGATCTCTGTGGATTAGATCTGGAGAGTTTTTTATCAGAACAGAGGTATTTTTGGGATTTACATGTTCTCTGTCCCTGGCAGCTTGCCCTGGTGAAATACCGATTACACAATCGCAATCTGACTTTAAACTACAGTCAAAAAATCAGCTGCATGCTTGGTTATGGTGAGAATACCCTCTCTGTGATGGCAAAGATTTGAAACTGTGCAGTACATTTTGTCTCCTGACACAGGGAAACTTGCAAAGAACAATGAACAGGCTGTTTGCTGTGGGTGTATGGAAAAAAATTTGGAAAACTGGAATTAATGCCTTCTCTGAGATTCTCATAGTCCTGTAGCAGGATTAATGAATGAAACCACTCGCCTCAGATGTATGGAGGATTAGTGCTGCTTGACTCTTTTGTTAT